AATCGAGACAAAAAAAATACAGTGGAAAAACAAAGCAGGATGGTCTGCGTCAACCCCAGAGGCTATGCTTGGTGATGGTTAAGGGAAGTACGAAATATACTGCCCATTAGGTTCTGATAGTGGAAAAGCAGCATTAGTGAACAGCTTCTGAATGATCAGCTGCCTTACAGTTGAGAGCACAGATAAAATGCAATAATGTCAAGTGAGCAGCAACCGCAGAGTGAAAGGTTCTGTTTGAACAGACAGTGTGGGAAGAGACAACTGGATTACAAAGAATAGTGAGTTTGCTTTTGTCTCATGAGGGATATGAACACTGTGTGGGTGAACTATCAGAACATATTGTAACCATGGTAATTATACACATTAACCATATTGACAGCTCTAACCTAGAATGCTTAGGTGAAAAAACAAGGATTACATGAATATGCCACTTATCAAAACAAAATGCCTAAAACTAACTCTAAAATGGGAGTACAACTATCATGATGCTAAAATGAAATCATACCCCGGTGCCAACACTGGTACAAAAAAGTAAATGCTTTAAACTGCCTTTTAACTTACAATGTGACCTCAGCATTCGGTTATAATGCAGGAGTAAAGATTGTTTTATTTTTATATTGTTGTATTTTATTGGTGTGTTAGGTATTTTTAGTCAAATAGATATTGGTTAGATACTTGATGTATTAGACATGTTTAGAGTAGACAGGATGTCTAGCTCAGGCTGTTAAATGCTTAGTCATTCTCATGAGTTGCAGCAGGGTACTTCTGGTCAAGGATAACTAGATAGAAAGTTGATGACTGTTAGAAGACAGGATGTTTATTATTGTTATTATGACGTGTATAACTGTAGTCATAGCCATAATATTTTCTTATGTTTAATGTCATGACATGTCACTAGAGGTTGTGTTAGAATGTTTTAGCTACACACCACATAATCAACAGACAATCACACATTACTTTTCCTCATGCTTTGACTACTGCTCTGGCCAGCTGCAAAGCTGGCACCGGGAGACATCACGGTTTGGCGTCTCTCTGTGTAGAATGGGGTTAGCCCGAAGTGATATAATGTATAGGCCTGTTGTGGTTCGGGGTCTTTTATCTTTCAGCTGCCTGCGTGCATGTTGGAGGTGCAAGGTACCTGAGTGGGTAATGTTAATTTTTACCTGTGTTCATCAGTACTGTTTTGAAGTTACTTGGACAGCTTCGTCTCTCAGAGTTAGCGTTGTTAAAAGTACCGGGTACAACAGGTGCATACAGTGATAACAAACAAACATGCAATTTGTCAAATTACAAAGGATCTGGAATCTTCAGGCCCTGAGCATCTGGGCCCCGGGGAAGCTGCCTGGTAATGCTGCCTTGGAGTGACACAGAACAGTTACGCTACATATACTGCTCTGTAAAGAAAATTTACTGCACTACAACTAGATGTGACTATTGTGAATGTGCTAAACAGAACTCACAATGACAGTGCTGATGTAGAGTGCAGTACAAAGAAAAGCCAAACAAGGTGATAAGATTTTATACAGACTAATGAAAGGGGCAGGAATGTATCAGGTTTACAACACAGCCAGGAAGGCTAACTAGCAGTTTCATATCCATGTCCTGATGTGAGGGAACCCTTATTATGGAGTCTTAGATTACAACCCCACAAAATAATGTAATATAGAAAAAAAATTTGCCTAATGTTTTTTTCTTAGTCCTCTTTCAGTGTTTTCAGAATTGAGGGAATACATTAAGCGGCCAAGCGTGAAACCCAAATGCAATATCAACTCTTGTTCGCAATTTGTCAAATCTGTAAAATATATGGCAGTGTGGAAATATCCTGCTCCGCCATTTACAGCAGCTTTCATAAAACATATTCTTTGGTAATAGTGTTCTGGAGACAGCCTTATGTATTATTGAACAGTTCTCATTTTCATTCAAACAACCCGTAAGTCCTTCATGCACACACACACAAACAAACACACATGCACAGATGTACAAAAGCCCTTGCAACATTTTGTGAGGGAATTTGTCACCCTGTCCTTTGTAGCCAATTTTCTGCGGCTAGTCGTGGCATTTATCAGGGCAGAGCTGTGCAGGTAAATGTGCTCTTGCCAGGCAGTTTTACTGAACTTTATTTAGTTGGCATTCTTACTGAGCTAACCAAACCCCCATAAATACACAGTGACACATATACTTACACACACACACAAATCCTGAGCTGCGGTCATTCACAGGTTACAGTCATCAAAACTACAACACAATGTTGGCTTGGGTCTTTTCAAGGGATTTGCTGACAGGTAAACACAAAGGACATAACCAGCCTCACTGTTTAACTAACCCATCCTGAACCTAAACAGAAGCATATGACAGAATGGAGCTTCTATGCAGCCTGGCAAACACCCTGGACACTCTGTGTTTGTGTGTGTGCGCTCTTGCTACATAATGGGGACCATAAAAGAATTTTTGCTATAGAGTGAGGACATTTTTGGGATGCAAGGACATTTTCGTTGATCCTCATTTTGCTAAACAGCTTTTTGAGGGTTGGGACTTGGTTTTAGAGTTCAGGTTAGAATTAGACTTAGGTTAGGGTTAGGGGCTAGGCAATGCATTATGTCTAAGTGTCCTCACAAAGCTAGAAGTACAAGTGTGTGTGTGCCTTTGTATTTCTTACATCATGGGGGCCGAAACCTGTTAACACTCACATTGTGGGGCCTCGGCCATCCTTGCGGGGACCAGCCTTAACCTTATGGTTAAGGTTAGGTTAAGTCTACAGGAAATGAATGTAAGTCAATGTAAAGTCCCCACAAGGAATGAAAACAAAGTGCGCGTGTGTGTGATCAGTTTGGTCAGGTGAAGAACTTGCTGACTCCAGACAATGAACTGGACAGCTACAGAAATATTTTGTCAAAATGTGAGCAAAACTGTCAAATTAAAAACTAATGTATCTTACTAAAGATACTAAATTACAATTAGGATCAGAATGTGGACCTTCACCTATAATTGTAGAAAATAATGTAAACTGATTTTACAATACCTATATGCAAAATCAAGTCAACTTTTTTCAGAAAAACACACAAGTACAACAATCTGATCTGTTTTAGTCTTGTCTGACATTTACTAAATTATCACAAGTTCCCACATGACCAAGTGTAAATAAGGTTTGGGACATTTTCCCTTTCAGATCTATCAGCGTCGTTCTGACATGTCAAAATGCCTTTGATGAAATTATGTGGAAATATTGAATAATCTATTAATGTGCAGGTCTAATTATGTGGGATGCGCTATTGACCTAGTTTGTAATTGAATTCAAACTGCAACAAGTTGCTGTGTTTATTAATTCATGAAGAACAGCCTGCTGCTAATGATTTTCTGCCTCAGAAATTAGTTCTTCACTTCTTTCTCTGTCTCTTTCTTGGCCTCTGACAGAGCATCTTTTTCATGTAATACATGTACAATGCAGATTAATCTTACCCAGTAATATTTTTGTGTCACTTTCAACATGGCACAAGTTTGAAATGCATACAGTCCCATAACAGATAAGCATGCACAAGATTACAATGACCTTGTGTGTAAAGCAAATATCTTGCATGTACTGTGGCTCTCCATCCTGGCCGTGGGTATGTCTGAATAAAACTGTGAGGAACATTAATGTAAAAGTGATGTATGTCTGAATGACCAAAAGCCGTTGCTATAACAAACTGAAGAAGCCAGCAATGTTACATATGTTATGTCTGAAAAGGGGGTTTAGATGTGTATCAGTGAAAACCAGACTTGAAAGTGCTAGAGGAAAATTTACAGTAATCAAAGGAACATAAAAATATAGCATCACTACAAATGCAGCCATTTTAAATTGCTGACTGTTGCATAATGGAGCCTTGACCCATAGCAGAGCTCTGCCAGGTTCCCGCTCTGTACATGGCTGGAATCTTTTCCACCCGATGATGTATAGAATATAGCACCGCCTTGTTTACCCCCTGGAGCACCCTGTGTGGAAGCCAGCTATCCACCAATAGGAGTAGTGATTGTTTTAGTTTACTGCAGAGGTGTACTGCTAATTTGAATATTCTGTCAAAGTCCAGGACAGCTGGTGTACCCAATATAGTAAGTGCTGCCGAACCCACTGAACAGAGGTGCCCCAGGTTGACTGGCTGCCAGTGGTTGACCTAAATATTAATCAGTGTCTGTCTGAGTACGGTAATAACCATTTCATTATGCTTACAT